TTTTTTTTTTTTTTTTTTTTTTTTTTTTTTTTTTTTTTTTTTTTTTTTTTTTTGTTGTTGTTTTTTTTTTTTTTCCTGGTGGGTTTGGACAGTAGCGGCGGTGGCTCCCGCTGCCAGCGCTGCTGCTCTCCTGTGCTCCATTACTGCTCTGCCAGCGGAGAAATCCCGGTGCCCGTGCCCAAACAGCTCCCGAGGTGAGGTGACTGAGGTGACTCGGACGTGGTTTTAGACCCCGATTTGTTGCGGTGATGGTTGTTTTGGTGCCTTGTAGCTACGGTGGAAACCCGGAGTTCGGAGAGATCGAACTGGTTTCTGCAGTTAAAGTTTGCGAAGTGTTTTGTCTGTAAATAGACTGGCTTTTCTTGGTCTCGACTTCTCTCCGCGGCATGTCGTAAATTCAGAAAATAAAATGTGGTTGAGGTACGTGATTCGGTTCCTTAAACATCAAGGTACCATTTTGAATACGGTAAGTGGTTTTCACAGCAGCTGGGGCTTTGACATCTGTCACACTGCAGAACTTGAAAGTAGATCGTGCTTTAGATAGTGCCTGCGATCTTTAAGTTATTTTCTCAAGCGTTTCTCTTAAGCATCAATTGGAAATTCCCCATCTAAAACACTGGAATGAGAAGTCACTTGCGCCCAGGCTGCCCTGTCCTGTGCATCGCTCTTTTGAGAACATGATGTTTTTTAAACTCCTTTTCTGATCGTGCCGGCCTGTGGTGGCAGCAGCTCCCGCGCCGAACACGGGAAAACACAGAGCGTGTGAAGCAGTACGTGGTGTGGGTAACATCAGTGGTACATAAAATGCAGCTTGCTTTCAAGAGTTTTAAATTGTTCATCTGAAATTTGGTTGTCACAAGCATCTACATCTGCTGATGCGATGATGATGTTTAGAACTAATGAGCACTAGGAACCAAATGGATAAAGAGCAGGCTGGGCTTCATTCTTCTACCAAACCTGGTTCATTTTTGTTTCCTTGTTTCCTCTCTACCTCCCCTGTTTGGCTTCTTTGTATTTTTTTTATTCTGACTGAGCTGGGAGGGGCGTTCACACCACCGTACCTCTGGGTATTTAGAGAAGTCCTGCTTCGGGCTCCGTGTGATGTGAAGAGAATTGCATGATCCCTGCAAACATGGATTTAGACTGCTGTGTGCTCTCTGTTGAACAGAAATTTTTTTGTCAGATTAGCCTCCTAACTCAGATGCCTAAATTAGATCAAATGAATGTGCTTATCCTTTTAATTACTATCCTGAGAGAATTGCATTTACTTTTTTCTCCTCTATCTGTACAAGATCTGGGGTATGGGATGTGTCCCCGGCTGAATTGTAGCTGTCACTGTAATAGAAACAAGGACTATTCCTGTAGCAGTAACAATATAACAAAAACTGGGTACATATGGCTTGTTTGTGCTAATCATAAAAATAATAGGGTTATCTACTATAGGTGCAGGTCAAACCAACAAAGCTTTACGGCTGTTTATTTTTTTAACCATTCTTCTTGTAAGCAGAAAAATGCCTTGTCACATCAAGGCAGAAGTGACCCATGGGATGATTTTAAAGTGTGTTGATGAGAAGGCTTTATTTGTTGAGATTCAGGTATTACAGTGATTTTGACTACAGCATTTCTTACAGCAGGGTTTTTTGCAAATATTTCTGTTGTATAATGTTGAAAGTTGAATTAATTTCATGCCATAGGAAAGAAGCAGCTATGAAAAATGAAGCCAAGTTCTCTAGGTGATAGTATTTCTTCATTGAGCTGCTTCTCAGGAGCTGGTGAGGAAAATGGGGCAGCATTTGGAAAGTGAAAGGTGATGCTTTGCTTGAGGCATTATCAAAAACCTTCACCCTCCTTGAAAACAGGTGGCTGTCAGGAAAAGACCTTGGGATGAGTTCCTGAAGAGCAGAGTAGTCCAGAGCACTAGTTCTTCCAAATTGAGACAGAGGTCTCTGGTCTGTTTGGTTAACAGTTTACAAGTAAATTATCTGCTGTTACCTCAAAAGACTCGATATGTAAAATTTGTGAAAACAGCTTTTCATGAGTTTTTCTTTTAAAGGCCAGAGCTGTTCTCTTTGCCTTTTGAAAACTAGTTCAGAAGTTGGATTGGACATCTTTATTTCTAATGTTAATTTCTGGCCTATTTTCACTTGAAAGGAAAGATCTCTGACATCTTAGTTTTTAAAATAACTTTTAACTGCTTCCATTTGTTTTTATTAACCTGAAATGTAGTTACAGAATAATATTTTTTTGAAGAGACTTCTGGAGATCACCTGGTCCAATTCTTGTGAAAAGCATGGCCAACTCAGATTATGTCCCTCAGAGCCGTGTCTGGTTGTGTTTGGATTATTTCCAAGGGTGGAGATCCCACCAACTCACTGGGCAGCCCTCCCCAGTTTGGTGTCCATGCTTGCTCAGACTGCATCCCATCCCATTGCCCAGACTGCCAGTGAAGACATTAAACAGTACTGGCCACGGTATCAATTCCTGGGGAATTGATAGTTCCAAACAGATGGATTTTGGAATACTGATGACAGCTCTTTGAGTCTGGTGATCAGGCAAGTTTTCCACTCAGATTACAGTGAACCTTTTCAAACTATATTCCACCAGTCTGGCTCTAAGGATACTGTGAGAGACCTTATTAAAAGCTTTCATAGAGTCAAAACAAGCTGCTGTGCCCTCATTCACAGAGCCAGTCATCTCAACACAGAAAGCCATGAGATATTGGATGTGATTCGTCCTGGATGGACGGTGGCAGTTTCCCATCACCTTTTTGTTCTTCAAGCATCTGCAGGTGACTCACAAGGGGATTTGCTCCATTGTCTTTCCAGGGACTGAAGTAAGATTTAGCAGCTTTTTGTATTGGTGTACTGGCCCTTCCAGAAGATGAATCTGATGTTTACCTTTTTCCCATCATCAAGATCTTTGATCAGTCACCAGGGTCTCCCATAAATCACAGAGCTTGGTCTTGCAGTGACATTACCCAGTGTTCCTGGCAGCACTGGGCCTGTGATTTGTTCCATATATATGTATGCAACTGCTCTACTTCCTTGTTTTCAAGTTATTTTGACTTCCCAAAGCTGTCTTCAGTTCATTGTAATGCCACATCTTTTGGCAAAGGATAGTAGATGATGGATCCTGCCATGTTTTTAAGTTTTGGGGGGGAAGCTTGGTTTAGACACTGTGAAAACACTGGTTTAGTCCTGTGAAAGTTGTGAGAGCAATAGTTTGCTGACTAGTGTTGCTGTTAGGTTGGAGGGGTCATGTCATGTGTCTGAATGATGTGGGAAAGTTAGTGACCTTGCTTGAGCTTTTTCCTCTTAGGTGATGATTGGTGATTTTTAAGATAACAAAGATAAAGTCGAGCTAATTAGAGAGTTCTCTTTTTTTACGACCGACCTGTTTCAAGAACTATCGCATATCAGTAAAACACTTAACACAAAGTGTACTTTGAGGTTCAGAGGTTGATCCCAGGTATGAGGTGATATAGGGTAGTTACTGTATTCTTTTTACCTTTAAAAACATATTAATCACCCTTTAATTTCACCTTTTAAAATTACATTTTCCTTATGTACATTCGTTGGTGTTAGATGACATAACATTCTATTTTGCGGGGAAGCACTCGTGTTAGAGTGCCTGGTTGGATTTTTGGAAGTGCTAAGCAGCTGTTTTAAGTGATCCTGAAATTTTCAAGTGCTTGGTTGCAAATATTGCAGGTACCTGATTACCTCTGGAAATGGTGTTTTTGAATCCTGATCAATGTAGAACTGGGAGGCTTATACTGTGTGTGAGTTCAAGTTCCTTCCAGTGACAGACCAGTGTAAGCCAAAATTTTAAGCCAGCTGTGAGCAGTGAAGCCTTGTTTTCTGTGGCTGTTTGAGATTAATGAGATGTGAGCTTGTGTTGAGTTTTTTCACGCTGTTGGTATATTTAGAGCAGCTTTTGGCATGTGGATTCTCTGGTGTCTAATATTGGTACTCAAACACACAGGAGTCTTTCTCTTCATTGAGGGCACTAAATTTGGTTGTGCTTTCTCTGGTTACCTGTTTTCATGAATCTTGTAGGCACTTAAGATCTTTGCAAAGTACACCCCTCAGTTGAGCTTAGTTCACATTGGATGATGGAATTCATCAAAGTACATGTTAACTACTCATCTCTTCTACCCTTAGAATGCCAGGCTAAGAATTTGAGCATCCTGGTTGCTTAGTTCCTATAATGTAACTGCTTTCATTAATTCATTTGTCTTACTTGTCTTATCAGGATGGTTGTGGGGTTTGTTGTTTCTGGTTTTTTTTTTTTTTTTATTCTCAGGTTTATTTAAGGATAAGCCTCTAGAAAATAAGATAGGAGATTTTATTTTGTCAGTTCTTCTTACTTCCACACATACTTTGTTGTATTGCCCATTGCAAGATGGTACAGAGATTGTAGTAACTTGTTTTTCTGGTATTGTTGTGACGTTAGCACCAAATGTTATAAAGGTGAGGATTAGGTCACATAAAAATTATAAAGTAAAAATGGAGCTGATGAAATGTCATTTTTCTTTAAATTGCGAATATTTAGAACTTTGTCAGTATAGGAAAGCAGCCTGGCCAGCTTGGTTACTTGGATCCTGGAGTTAGAATAATGGATTGAACATTAATATATAGATGAGCACAGTGTTGTGTAACTCTTATTTTCAGAACAACACGTGAAATTCAAATGATGTAACATGATGACAGTAGCAGGACAA